CAGGTTTAATTTTACAGCAAGTGTTTGGCCACTTGCGCTTTTTGTGTTGTCAAATTATGATACGGTATCTCAACTAATTACATTTGACCAAGACGCATCATCTTGTTAAACCATCACCAGTTGCTCTGTGTAGCACAAAGGAGCTACATGCCTGCAAACAAAGATACTTTCAATTAGATGTTTTTTATTTTTAATGATTATTTTGAAGAAGCATGACGTTATGGTCAAAATGAGACACTTCCTTTGGCTACTCAGAATTTTCGTGCTCACATGCAGACAATATGTTGACCTTGGGGAAGTTCCATTCACCACTTCGCCAAGTGAAAAACGAAAGTGTTGCTCATTGAAGAACTGAGAGTTGGTTGAAGATGCTGCTCCAAGAAGGAACTGCTGTTAGGAGAACGAACAGTGAAAGTGTGTTGCTGAAGAAATGTGTTTTCACCAGAACTGAGAATGAAGGAAACCTGTTGACCTGTTTTCTATCGCTTGAACAAATGTGCAAAATGTTTAATTGCTCTGGACTTCTATGAATTAACGTAAATAAATAAGGCTGCGTGCTGTATATCTTACAGGAGCAAAATTAAATCCTTGAGATAAACTCCGATTGAAACCTCCAGAAAAGCTAATAAATGGACCGTGGAGTGAGAATGTTTTCTCAAATGCTTTTTCTCAAGGTCAAGAAAGAAATTTGAACCTCGAGGTCTGTATATTGTGCGGGAAGACTCGATAGAACGTCGGTACTAAAGCTCAGGCTCTGAGTGGGATTCCTGCGTCTGTTTGGCTCAATCAGTCCTGATTCTGATGTTTATTTATACCATGAGATGTCAGCCTTGGCCCGACGTGCACCTCGATAAGACACATTTTGAACAAACATATGGGAAAAACAATTTTCATTTTGCTTTTTGTGTGTATGTACAGTCACATTTTGCAGAAAATGAAGTAATAATTCATAATATAACAGAAATGACTTTCTGCCAGCAGCTTTCTGTTGCTGTTGTTCGCTGTCCTTGGTCAAGGTTTTCTCCGCTTCATTCATTGTGAGTTTGTTTGTGTAATTGAGTTATCTCTGTTTGGACCAGCTTGGATTTTAAACCTTGAGACTGAGGAGATTTTAGTTGGGGTTTTTTTTCTACTTTCTGTCACATTTTCAAAAGGTTGTTGGAGGGTTAGGACTTGATTTTAGGGTTAGTTTTACCCTGTTCAGGACTTTCATGTCGCCATATGTAAAAGGTCTTTCGGGGTCCATTGGGTCCCGAGAAAGAGTATGTGCAAAATACTTGTTGGTATTCATTATAGACTTTTATTCTAAATGTCCCTATTTTTATATTTATTAAAAAAATCTTCAAAAAATAATAAAAAACAAAACAATACCTGTCACCTAAACCAAATGGTCTGGGGTCCAAAAGACCCCAAAAGTCCCGAATAGGGTTAAAGGTTGGGATTGAGCATTGCAGTGCTTAGAGAGAGGAAATCTGTGAGTCGGTTTAACGGGAGATGGCTGTGTTTATCCTGTATCGGTGGAGCTGGTGGAAGGAGGAGGGAGCAGCCTCGAGCAGTGTTCTCATTGAGCACCCGGACGGCCTGTGGGAAGAAGCTCCTCTTCAGCTTCACCATGTTGGTCCTCAAGCTGTGGTCGTGTTTTCCCGATCAAAGCACAGAAAACAAGGCCATGATCTGAGTGATCCGGGCCTCCGGCTGTTCTTATTTAGGGCTTTAACCATCATGAAACTTTAGTGGATGATTGATGGTTACACAAATAATTGTGACGAATTGTGATGTAATTGTCTTTTTCCCTTTCATTCTATACGTCTAAGCTACCATTGTTAGCAATTTTGATAACTGCTTTTTCCAAATTTCCTCTTCTAAATTATTAGTCTCTCTTTTTTCATTGACTTAAAACCAAAATATTCCCTCACTCTGCCGTGCTGTTTGGTTTGGCAACTAAATCTGTTCTGTTAATGTCAACGGATGCTCACAGAAATGAAGTCAGTCAAATATTAGATCTGAAGGGCCGTTAAACCAGAGCAAAACAGCGAGAACTGTTGTGCAAAATAGTGATCGAAATATGACATTTCTGTCATTTTGATTGAGTTGTTTTCATACAAATGAATAAATTATGCGAAATATTCATGCCCAAATAACTGCAATCAGGCGATTATATAATAATTATGTAATAATTGTGACAGGCCTATCCTTATGGCAATGGTTCTGCACTGCCGGGTGTTTATGTCCCGTAGGGCAGGCAAAGCAGCCCAGCGCTCCCAGCCAACAGGCTCGCAATCATGTCGCCACAAAATGTTCACAGCACGTGAGTGGAGAGCCTGGATGTGGCCGGGTGGAGAGGAAAGGGCCTTCATCACCTCAAAGTATCTGAGGTATTTCAGGTTACTCTCTGATATCGAGAAAGCTGTAGTGCACAACCAGCTCTTTAGAGAAGCGAGAAGCTGCTGCTGTGACACCATGTGAGCAGGTTCTCCACCTTTCCCAGGTCTCATCATTGTTGCAGACTCTGCCCACCACCGCCTCCACCGCTGTGTTGTTGGCAAACTTTGCCAGCGTATTAAAACTGCAGGTGGCTGAGCAGTCGCTGGTGGAGTAAAGCAGGGAGTTATTTCATTATAGGCGACACAGAGTGAGTCTTCCTACACTGGATTCACAGTTAATTACCTCTGTGTTCAAGGTGACTACATGCACTGTTATACCCCTAATACATTGCACACAACGCAAATAATCAGCAAACAGCGAATTTGTCTTCAATGGCTCACAAACAATGCGTCATAAAAGCCAAACGCTTCTTTCTGAAACGAATCCCATTCGCATCAGCTGTCAACTCGTCTTTCCGCAGCTCACAGTACGCATCAAAAATGACAACAGAGTCCCTCACAGCCTCTCATCTCAACTTACATAACTTACTCTTTCACACAGAAAATTGTTGGGATGTCACATCATTATGCAATAGTGCCTATCTGTTGCCTTCTGTTAGGCGCTGTTGCACGAAACATGTGAAATAAATGGAAAAAATAATCTTCAAAAATGTCATCGTGTCCCTTTTATGTAAGATTTAAATGCATTCTCATGTTGCAAGGTGTGAATTAAAAGCCGCCTGGCGCTAAATGCGAGTAGATCTCCCATTTGGAGGGTAGTCATGTAAGAAATCAACTACGTATATGCCGAAGGTCTCTTCCTCATTTTTGTGTCATTTACAGACACGCTGCTTCTGGTTTCTGCTGTCTTGTCTGAGTTTGACACACACATAATGCTGCGTTTTTTGTCTACTTTACTGTGCCTTTAATTAGCTCTACCCTTTATATTTTTGTCCATGCGTAACTACCTCATCGTATCTCTAAGGGAGCAATGGACACTGGCCAGTCAGAGGCGGACTACAGCACCCACAGGTGTTACCAAATATTGAAAAAATCCCTGAAGTCTCTACGTGTTATGGATGTCTTCATCCTTGCATTTTGAATTTGTTTCCATACTTTGTCTCCTATCTGCTCTGTGTAAACACAACCTGCAGTTCAGCTCAGCAATGCAAATTTGTCAGTTTATTTTTTGCATGTTTTTAAATGAGACATGCAGAATAAAGTGAGTTTGATTTAAACAAACAAACAAAAAAACGGCACATCACAAATGACTACTTTGAAATTTGAGAATTTGCCATTTCTAGTTTCTAGACTAGAACTGACTGTGGTAAATGGTGTGATAACATGCATTTTAGGAGGCTATAAGGTGGCTCGGTGGTTAGCAGCTACAAGATCCCTGGTTCCTCCTCCCCGGTAGTGAGGATTAAGCGGCGTATAGATAATGGATGGCTGGATGGATGCCCTTTGGGGTTGCCTTTCAGTGTTCAGAGGATTAATAATAGAATGCTGAGATCAAGACTTTCTGAGTTGTATTCAACCGTTAATATATTAAATATTGGATCAAACATTGTTCTGACATCAATAAGCTATTATAGCTTAAACTGGAACAAAAGATTATCTAACACAGAAAGACAATCATTTTACCAGGTTAAAAAATAAGCTTTTCATCTGCCAATCCCCTGGTCCACTGCACGCAACACTTCAAAGACTTGCTGTCTCATTCCCCAGCATACCTCCTCAGATGTCTCTCCAATGTGCTCGAGGTTGAGTCATCTTTGTCAGAAGTTCTTCAACATGCTTTACGTGAAATATTTTCCCTTTCATAACAATGCGATCACGTTGAAGCCTCTGTTTTCTGTGAACATTGTTCAGTTCGGCTTTAACAGCACAGCAAATGTTTGAAGTAGTTCAATGAAACATACATAAAGTCTAAAGCATTGTTTAGATGAGATCGCTTTGGTGATTTTGATTGAATTGCATGTTGGCATATTGATAGTGTGGTGAGGTTATATCCATATATTGCTCAGTGGAAAACACATGCAGTCTAAGAATAATTGCCTAAAAATGATGTAGCTCTTACCCATAGTAAGAGCTCACAGGTATGACGACATCATCATCGTTTCAAACATTGTCACACAGTATGAGGGAGGTTTATATATTATGTAACTGCTATTATTAGTTGTATAAATGATATTTGAAGTGATACCATGTCATTTTTTATGTTTTCTGTTCAGTCGCACATGTCTTGCAGAAAACGTCCAACACTTTCTTTTACACCATCCAGTAAATGCCGTCCTTTATTCTTTAGTAATTCCAGGAGGTACAGATTCGCCACCTCACCTCCCACCCTGGGGGAACACCGACTTCCTGATCAATGAGCTGAACACCGACACACCCGGAGCCGCTGAGGACGGCGAGTACATCGAGCTTTGGCACCCATCAGGCCGCAGAGTCTCCTTGCAGGGCATCTGGATACTGCTGTTCAGCGCGCACAACAACAAACCCTACAGGGAGATCAGCCTGAGCGGACACTTCACCACCTCCAAAGGATACTTTCTGCTGGGCAGCGACAGGTTGGTTCCAGCTCCGTCACTTCGCCTTCCTCCCAACACCATCCAGAACGGACCGGATGCCGTGGCGCTCTACCGCAGTCCCTTTGGCCCACCATCGGCGGGGCAGAGGGGCATCCCCACTAAAGGCCTGCTGGATGCAGTGGTGTACCGACAGAGAGGATCCGATCAGGAGGCCCAGGAGCTGAGTAAAGCTCTGACACCGGGACAGCTGCCACTGCTGGAAGATCCAGAGGTTCTGCCTGGTGACGAGGCGTTGAGCCGCTGTAGAGGCCTTTACCCCTATGACCTGTCTGCCTTTTCAGTGAGTACAAAGGGGGAGGATTTCATGCTGGAATTAAGCAGTTAGTCAGAAGTGTGTGCTTTATTAGCTCAGATGATGATACATTCTGTAGGATGAATTATCATTTAAACCTTCATTTCTACAAGTAACAGTTCAACCTTTTGGGAAATGTACCGATCTTTGCTTTCTGTCTGAGGGTTCGATGAGAAACCTGATACCGCTTTCATATCTGTACACGAAATTCAAAGTTACTGCAAGCAGCCAGTTCGCTTAGCTTTGCAGGAATTTAGCCGACCAAGAAAAAATCCTGCACATAACTCTTCATAAAACCACGTCATTTGTGCTCAGCTAAGCTGGTTAGACTTGAACCGAGGGAAACAGCGAGCCTGGCTCTATGCAAAGGTAACAAAATCCACCTACCGGCACATCTAATGCTTATATGTCATTTGTTAAACACTAAAGTGTAAATATGGCATCATGTGGTGTGATATTTTGGGGTGCAGTTGCTGCCCTAAGTGAAGGAGTTTAAGTATCTTGTTCATGAGAAAGTGAGAGAGATAGATGGTTTGGTGCAATGGCAAGAGGAGTGCAGGAGTTGTGTTGGACTGTCTGGTTAAAGAAAGCTGAACTGGAAGACAAACCTCTGGATTTACCAGCTGTTCTACTTTCCAGCTCTCACTTATGGCTCTGGGTGGTGACTGCAAGAATGAGGTCTCGGATCATGTGGAAGTGGGTTTCCTTCACAGGGTGGCTTGGCCTGGCCTTAGAGCTAGGGTGAGGAGCTCGGACATCCGGAGGTAGCTCAGAGTAGAGTTGCTGCTCCTTTGTGTCAAAAGAGGCCAGTTGAAGTGGTTCGGGCATCTGATTAGGATGCCTCCTGGGCTCCTTCCTTTGGAGGTTTTCCAGGCATGTCCTACTGGGATGAGACCCCGGGCAGACCTAGAACTCGCTGGAGGGATTTTCATAGCTCGTCTGGCCAGGAAACACCTGGGGACGTCTGGAATACCCTGCTGTCACCACGGATAATTAAAAATAAATAAATGGATGGATGGATGATGTCATTATGGGATTATGTGCCAGACTATTTCTTGGCTGAGTAAAGTAACCTCCTGTAGCTACAACAGTATGTTTTTCTTACATTTTGTTTTGTGCACTGATTCAGTGAACAAAATACAAAGCCTGGGTCATTGATCTCATGATCGTAAATCGTGGGCATTGATAATTTTGTGTATGATCAGAGGAATCATACAGAATACAGTTCAATCCCCTGCCCATGTAGGTGTTTCCTACCTACTGGCTGACCAGGTCGCTTTTATGGCGATCCTCGCTGTCACTCGGCTGCCATAATCCTATGATCGTTTAGCCAGATTGCCCACCCTTTATATAAATTGTTAATTAATGAGCTTTATAGGCACTAGGATGTAAATATTGTTTACCTTGTTGTGAGTCAGTCAAACTCCTTGTGCTAAGCTAAGCTAACCAGCTGCTTCATATTTAGACTTATCAGTGGTATCAAGCTTTCGTACAAGAAGGCACATAAGCATATTTCCCAAAATGTCAAACTACTTCTTTAGATTTATGTTTTTGCAGCTAAAGAAGATCTTTTCTTTTGTTGTATTCTTATTTAAATGCACGCCGTCTCTGATGTATCCACACTGGACTTTTTTAAAACTCTAAACACACCACATGCATCAATCAATACAGGTGGCTCCCCCCACCCCTCTGAGGGAAAACAGCTGCCCCCGTCCTCCTCCAGCCCCTGAGGGCGTGGTCATCAGCGAGGTGGCCAGCAGTCACTGGACCAATCACAGCCAGCAGAGAGCTTTCGTGGAGCTGCATGGGCCGCCCATGATGAACCTGCGGGGCCTGGTGCTGTCTGTGTTCGACCAGGAGCGAACAGGGACCGTCATCGCACTTCCTCTGACCGGGTATATTGACCGGGATGGATTTTACATGATTGGGAATGTCACTGGAGCAGGTGAGGCCAGTGGAAGACCTTGTGGCAAAGAGACGACAGCTGCTATAGATTAAATATATCCCAACTCCTGCTTAATCCTGCTGTCTCTCTTTTTGTCTCTTCTTCTTACTTTGCACCCACTCTCCTATTCTCTCACTGTGTTCCTTCACCTCGTCTCTCCCCGGCATAGATCAGACCTTCCCGGAGGGATCCACGGTGCCAGTGCGAGGAGCAGTGGTCCTGTGCTACGACCTGTTCAGCGTCTGCAGAGCTGGAACCGCTCTGACCAATTCTAGCCTCAGAGACGTGCTTGTGTTCAGTGAAAACCGGCAGCTGCTGTCCTCTCTGTCCACCAGCAGAGGGAGACAAGTGATGCCAGCTCTCAGGTAAACACAGACTGAATCCCACAGTCTGAATCGATAACAGCTTTTACTGAGTTTTTATGTTTGAACCTTCGTATTTATGATTAGTTTTAAACCAAGTAGCAGCTTTTTACCTCAGTGGTTTACAAAGTGCTCGTTCACACACCCAGGACACTAATGGCAAGTGAACCTGCCATGCAAAAGGTGTTTCCTGCCAATTTGGGGTTCAATATCTTTGTGTCGTACTAGTCAGTCTACATTTTTTTTAGTTCTCCCTACTTTTACTCGCGTGCTGTTTCCATAAAGAAGCAGGACGTTATATTGCAGTAAAAAATAAACCAGCAGTGAGAGAAAATGTGACCGGAGCAAAAATACACCCAGAAACTACGTGGAGCTTAGAGGAGTTTTTAGGTTTTTGTTAAAACTGTTTTTAAAAGGTGTTATTTCCCATCTGTCATTTTGGAGGAAGTTGTTTGTGGAACTGTTGAATCATATTTTGCTTTAATAATTTTTTTTCTTGACTATCACCACACAGGCTCACAGAAACACTTCTACACAATATAACACAGTCACTTGACAACTTGTACACAAGACTGAATTTTTGAGATCCCCAGAGTTAATGAGAGCCAGTCACAACAGTCACAGTCAAAATAGTCATTCAGCCAGTTTGTATGCCTGCAAATGTTCTCTTGTGTAGATTTGCTGTTTGACTCTATCATTTGTTTTACTCCTGCATATGTATTCAGACGTGTGTTGTTGTGCATACTGTGCGTGCAGGTCGGTGGAAGATGGTCCAGTCTCCCTCAGCCGGTGTTCCTGCTGCGAGGTGAGGAGCTCCTCCTCCTGGACGAGCTCCTCTCCCACACCTCACAGCACCAACCTCTGTCCCAGCTCCGCCTTCTCCAGCCAGATTGACCTTTGCCTCGGACCTCTGTCCAGCGACTGGTACGGCCAGTCAGGAGGTGAGGCATCCTGAAATGACAAAATGCATTTAACATAAAACTAAATAAAACAGGGTTTAGGGAGGAGGAGGTACAGATATACATGTTAAACAAGTTCTGAGACTGTTTAAGATAATTGTAGATTTTGAACAATAATAACAGAAGCTGCTATATTTTGACATGAAATATTTAAATTTCATGTCTCTCTCTCTGTCTTTCATGTGTTTTCTAACTGATAATTTAACATGCACAGCTGTTGCATGTAACTTGTGTTTGGTGAGTTTGCCAGATGCTGCAGTTACAAATCAGTGTTTTAGAAGTGCAGAGCAGCAGGTTGGAAATGGCTCTGAAGTCACTGCTCGTTAACACGTAGTCTTAAGAGATGAATTTCAGGCACTATTTCATACTGGATCAGAAAGAGGAAACTACTAGAATGAAAACAGCTTGATTTTGAATCCAGCTTTATTAAAATGCAGCATATAAGAGCACAGAGAGCAGGAGAGACATAGATGTAAACACCAATGGACGTTAGGTTACACAAAAGCACAACAGCCAGAACATTTGATGAGCTTTGTTCATGGCGGAGATACTTCGGAGATAGCAGAGGCAGCTGTAGAAATAAACCTACCATCCTGTAAGGCAACTGCTCATTCTGAATGGCTGACCTGGAAGCAGCGGGCAGTGAGAGGCAGAATTATGCAAATCTTCAGCTTAGTTCCTATAAAATTTTAGAAAATCCTGACTGATGTGTAAAGCTGGGGGGCTACCTAGTTTTAGGGAGGCCAGAGAATTGGCATTAGTAAGTATCTTCATATTTTTACAGCTTATTTACATCTCCACATTTTAACAAAATAGAAAAATAAAACTGATTTTTTGAATATGGAACTTTTAAGACACTGAGATAAATTGGCTAAAAGCATATAAACCACACCAGTCTTATATTAGTCTTGTATAACAAGAAAAGTATTCTTGAAGTGCATAAAAACATTAATGACACAGCTTTTAAAAAAAAAAAGCAGTAGGAGTCTACTTTCAGCTTGTGCGTTTCTCTTTTCCTAACACCCTTGGTGCTTGGCATTTAGACTGAGTGTGAACTCCACATGTTGGCCGGTCAATTAACAGTGTGAGGAAAGAAGTTGCATCTTATAGCTGCACAGGGACTCCGATTAAAACTCACAGTCGACATGTAGGGTGATTTAACACATCGTACATGTTTAATGAATTGGTGCAGTGATGGGACTAACACTGCTAGTATGCCGTGGTTCATAGACAAGCGCTGCCAAAATGTTCCAGGTGTTACTTAAAGTATAACATTTTCAGAGTGCAAGTATGTCGGCGTAAACAGACGTCTGACAGTAAATGTTGGCTCACACGGTGTCCCCATCTGAGGACATTTTTCAGGATGAACACAAGAAGCGTTTCTCAATGAATAAGTAATTTAAAACTTTTATTTTTGTGCTCAACAAAACTCTTTTAACATGTAGCCCAACACCTCAGATAACAAGCAATCGACATTCGGAGGATTTTCTGGTTGTTCACAACCTTTCAAGGGTTATATAAAAGCTCTAATTTTAGTAATTTATCAGTCAAAAATGTAGAATTTTTAAAATGTATCTTTGTTTGTATACGGGTCATAGCTCATTAAGTCTGCTGTTATAAAAGAGTCTCTTCTGTCTTTGTTCTAGACTGCAGCGGTCTGATTCACAGGAAGAGAGTCGCCGAGGTGGCCGACTACTTAGAGCAGAGGTGTCACTGTGGCATTTCTGCGTTGTACCTCCAAGGTGAGTTCCTCTGACACACAATCGATTCCACATCACACCGTCACTAGCTCTGGATGGAGAACTCGACTTCTAGCCCTTCAATAAGACTGAACGCTGGTGTCAGAAGGTGCAGTTGATGTACGCAGCCACAATTTATAAAGAAGCAGCTGAGATTTCTTAATAATCAAGCATTTGTTCACAAGTTTAATAAGTAAAAACTCCCAAATGATGACCATAATAATCATAGATCCGATTTATAAAGCACTTTTCTAGGCACTCAAAGACGCTTTACACTGTCAGTTATTCATTCACACACAGTCACTCTGATGGTGGTAGCTACGACTGTAGCCACAGCCGCCCTGGGGCAGACTGACAGAGGCGTGGCTGCCATTCTGCCCCTCCGACCACCACCTCAAACAATCCATTCATACACATTCACACCAGGCAAGGTGGGTGAAGTGTCTTGCCCAAGGACACAACGACCATAACACGGGTTACAGGGTGGAATCAATCATTGACCGACTCGCTCCACCACCTGAGCCACAGCCGCCCACACTGAGCCATCACTGAGAAACCGTGCTATAGCAACCCCATCAAGCGCTTCCAGCTCTGACAGCTCTTTCTTGCAGAGAGATACCGTTTAGATGGACAGATGTAGGTGTGACTTTTTACATCCCGTGTTGCTGTTGCACACTGAGTAACAGTCAGGAAGTGACCTTTTCAATCCTAAGCTTCCATCTTCAGTTCCAGATGCACAGGATGTGTGCCTGTCTTCTTCCTGGTGGTGCTGTACTTGTAATTGTTTGAACAGATGAACCTTCAGGCACCTGGACATTGTACCCAAGGATGAACCAGACTTGTGGAGGTCCACAATTCTCTTCCTGATATCTTGGCTGATTTCTTTAGATTTTCTCATGTTGTCACAAAAGGAAACAGTGTGTCTGAGGTGTGCCTTGAAATACATCCACAGGTTTGCCTCCAATTAACTCAAATGTTGTCAATTAACCTATCAAAAGCTTCCAAAGCCATGACATCATCATCTGGGCTTTCCCAAATAGTTTGAAGGCATCTTAGTGTGTGTAAACTTCTGACTTTGAAGAAAGTAGTAAAAGAAAAAAATCTCTCTCATTATTCTGGCGTTTAGCAAATAGAATAATTTTGGTAATCCTAACTGACCTGAAACAGGAAAAGTTTAGTCTGATTTAATGTCAGACTGAGAAATAAAAGGCTTTATGTCTTTTTATACAGTGTATGTAAACGTCTGGTTTCAACTGTATATCTACAAACCTGAAGCACCTCCTGAGTAATTTCATATACGTGAACCATTTGTCCTTCTGTTTCTGTTCAAGGGGCCAACTTCTCCTGTGTGTCTGGGTGGCTGCGAGTGTGGGGGAACATCCAGGCGCTGTCGGACCATCAGAAGGCCCTCATCATCCAGACGTCGCACATGAACCCTTCATCTGCTGAGACGGACGTCTGTTCGTCTCCCACCACCGGTCGGTACACAGGAGCAGGTCAGAACCTCCTCGCTCTCTCCAGTTTCCAACACGGCACAGTTAGAATACAGACCGTCACAGCTCATTAATCATCAGTTCAGAAAAAAACTGATACTAATCAGCTGAATCAGTCAATAACAGTCTGCACTCTGCAGGTCCAGCTTTATTAGCTTTCTGTGTGTCAACTCCAGGGTCCTAAAATACACTGAATACAAAGAAACTAATCCCATGAAATTTCAAATATAACACATAACATCTATATGTATATCTAGGTATGTTGTCATGATAAAAAAGGGAGGGTTAGAGGCAGAGTGGCAAACTGTAGTTAACCTCTGAAGTCTGTGCAGCCTGTTATAAACAGATAATAATGATTTTTTTTTTAAATGTCGATGTGTGATGTATATATTTTTTTATATCTATATAAAATAAGACAGCTTTCATTTCTACATTTCCTCTGCTCTGTTTGTATTTAATGTGAGACGGCCTCATCATCTTTGCCTAGATAAGTTTAGACTAAAGTTAAAGAGACAGAAATTCAAGTTTGCATTGACATTGTTCTTTATATCTACATTTTAATGCAAGCTGTAAATAAGATGAGAAAGAAAGAGACGCATGTACAGTGTCTGACAGCTGAACGAAACAAAGACCCTCAAGTGGAACGAAAACTTAAAGTGCGAAACACACTTCACTCACAGACTGATGATTCCGATCCTCAAGTGATTCATGTGTTAATGTATAATCTGTCAGACGCAGTGAGAGAATGTATCGTATGTAGGATGACATTTCTTTTATTTTTAAGGTTTTAAACAGTTACAGTGTCTTGATTGGATGATTTTGGATTAAAACCTATTTGAATGACTTTATTTCAGGAGGAACAAAAATCTTATGGAAAATGACACTGACCTGCACGTAAAAATCCAAACTTTACACAAGGCACTGAGGTCAAACATGTAGGATAGTGGGCCAGCCTTATTCGAGCTGCTAATAAGTAAGTTTGTAATTCAGGTTGTGAACTAAACTCACTGTTAAAAGTGATGAAATGTAATTTTACTTGTAATTTCAGGCCTGTCTTAATGTCCTGACAGCTCTGATGGAGCTCAGATTTTCATTCAGAGTAGCTTTAATACAAATCCTTCCACGGTACAAACCTGGCCTCTGCGTGGACCAGCCGACCTGCTGGCTGCTTAGAAGAACAGGGAACACTATTTACCGTCAGATCTCGTGTTCTTGGAGTTCCTGCTGCTGCGCCTTGAGAATAAACGCACACATCGCTCAGGATTTACAGGAGCACTCATTGTTTCTGCTGCTGTGGGATGCAGCAGGTATTTATTAAAGTACACTCCGGTACATTCAGTGAACCCAGAACAACATTACTGTCAGATCAAGACATTAAAGTGTCAGATCCGTCTGAGTCACAGCTGTATTTTGACCAACATGTCTGTGTGTTGTTACCTGGACACAAGTCGCAGCTTGATCTGGGTCGACTAGATGTGTGAAGCTGAAAGACCTGAAACACCACATAAGCCCAGGAAGCATCACAGATGGTGTGTTCAGGTGCATTAAGGTTGTTGCTCCTCTCACTGTAAATAGTACCTTTGCTTCCTGTAATACATCTAAGACCTGTATGCATCTTGCAATGTGCAACAACATATTCCTCCTCCCTCTGATGCTCCATGTTAAATTCTTACATTAGTTTTAAGGAGCAGAAATGTGAAAAGCTCAGCTCTAAATATTCAGGACAAGGAGTCAGTGGCGACCAGGATGTACAGCACAGATGGATGCAACCAAGCGTGTATTTTTGAGCGAATGTCACACTTTTACTTCACACATGGGAATAAAATTAAAATATATAGGAAGAGACAGATCCATTTACAGAGTCCTTAGAACAGGGGTGTCGAATCCTGGTCCTCGAGGGCTGTAATCCTGCATGTTTTAGATGTTTCTTTCTTCCAACACACCTGATTCAAATGATCAGGATCGTTATCAGGCTTCTGCAGAGCTTGATGATGAGCTGATCATTTAGAATCACCAATTAACCTCAACATGCTTTGGACCTTGTGGGAGGAGAGAACCCACGCTGCACGGGAGAACATGCAAACTCCACGCAGAAAGATCCCAGGTGTCCTCACCAGGACGCAATCCAGCGACCTTCTTTCTGTGAGGCAACAGTGCTAACCACCGACCCACCATGCAGCCCTTTATAACAATCAGTTAATCCTTACAATCACTTAACACTATTCAGGACTTTCATGTTGCCATATGTAGAAGGTCTTTTGGGATCCATTTGATCCCAAGAAAGAATATGTGCAAAATATTTGTTGGTATTCATTCTAAACTTTTATACTATGTTGCAGCCCAGACATTGGGTCATGTTCTTGATTTCCTTTTTTTTTTTGGTCAAATATTAGATTTTAATTTATGTTTTTATGGTTTTTGATTTATGGTGTTTGTGTTTTTACACGTGAGTAATAATTATTGTATATTCACATAGAATATGTTAAAAACATATAAATATACTGATTTTTTTTCAACTTTGAAAGCAGAAATCATCATTTATCAAAACTGAACTTTAAATGATGATACAGAATAAAGAATTAAGAGTGAAGAACCACTTGAAAGCTTGATTTATGTGTTGAAAACACTCTTATGTGAGAAATAAAATTGCACCTCCTTCCCAAAGACGTGGTTTCCATAAGCATGAATATGCAAAATGTATAATGAGAGAAAAGTACATTTTGCTGGTGAACATAACCAAAGCTTTTCTGTGATAAACGGGCTGAAACTGCTGCACTCTACAAGTACTCAGAGTAATCATCCTTCATGGGTGGCAGACTCTGGCATTTCAATAAAAGACTAAAGTTACGATACATGCATGTCATCCAACATTCATCATTACTGCACCAGAAGGAAGTCGCTGCTGTTGTGTGGAAAACCTACCTATGGTGTTTGCAGCATGTATTTAGATTATGATCCTAAATTGATGATTGATAAAGGCTAATTGCGTCTTCATTAAAGGGCTTAGTTGAAGTGTTTTCTGTGCCTGCTGTTACCTGCAGTATGACCAGATCAAAAACACAGCAGGCTGTGAGGGGATATTACAGGTTGTTGTGTTCTTTTAATGTTGCACAGTGATTCCCTCTGTGTTCTACGTCCCATCAAGGTCTGTTTGGAAAAGACAGATGGGCTTCTGTTAATTGTTTCTTCAGTGGACTAAAGAAAATTTACTGCAAGTTTCATCAGGAAGTCTGAATCACTATGCAATGTTTGGAATTGTGAACTTGTTGGGAAAGTGTAACTGTGCTTTTGTGTGACTCCCCTGTAGCGTCTGCGTTGGGCCTTCAGATAGGCCTGATAGTCGCGGTTCTCCTGCTGCTGGGACTAGGAGCTGCTCTGTTCACGTATTTCTACAGGAGGAGGTGAGCACTCTCGCATTATTCTAATCATCTGGATATGCTCACAGATGTTAACCCCTTTAATTACCTCTTTACCCCAGCATTTCATGTCTGTATTCTTTGTTAGAAATCTTAACAGACTGTTACCTTTTCTTTGATGCTAATGCTTCCTATGATTTCAAAGTAAGGGTTGTGAAGAGAAGAGAAAGGTTTTTAGACCTCTGAACCCAAAACCTGCCGGTGGGTTGAAAAAGCTTATTATCTTTTTACAGAATCCCTAAAATTACACAATTTACCATATTCAGAAACTGCTTTTTAACTTTTCAACAGTCCTTGAAAAAATCAGACCTGGCTTTGAGTCCCATTTGAAAAACTAATCAAATCTTTAAATCATGACATTTAATCTACATGCCCTGTTGAAAAACTCTCAAGAAATGATTTTTAAAAAACAAAACAACCCCCCTCCTAAATATTCTGTGCTCCTCAGCTCAACTAAGAAGCCATTAATGAATCAATACCAGTCATGTGACAAGAAGGAACTTGTCAGCTGAACTGCAGGTTGTTTTTACACGGAGCAAATAGGAAGCAATTTTAAAAAGTAAGTAATAAACTCTTTATAGTCGCCATTTCTTCCCCAGTGTTGGAAACACCTGTGGGCACAAAATTGTATATGTAGCTTCCAGGTTTTTACTCTTATTTTTTTTTGTAAAACAAATAATATCAACTTGCTTTTTTCAAAAAGTTCTTTATGACTTATAGTGTTATAATTGTGTCATATTACACCGAACACATTTTTTTTCTTCTAGACGTGGTTGTGTGGTTTCCACAGAGGGACTTAAATGAACTCACTGCAGGTAAAAATCTGACAGGAGCACAAAGACACCCAGAAACTGCCTGAGGTTCAGAGTGTTAAAATGTGTGTCGCTGAGAATACGGCTCATTTAATTTAATTGTTGAGGGACTCGGTCTGGAGAAGTGTTGTTTCTTGCACAAGGAGGCCATTTATTTCTTCGTACCTCATTCAAATCGTCTAAGTCTGAATCAGACTCACTTTGTCTTTTGAGGTTGTGCAAGTCAAGGCTGGATGATTTAACACGTCTATTCCATTAATTAGACTTTTTTTTTCTTCCATAATGTGAAAAATACCTCAGTCACAAATGTGTCTGTCAGCAGGACCAGCTCTAGCACTGAGCAACGGTTCTGTTGAGTCACAACAGTAATGTAAGCTGACGTTGTTCCCTTGGAGACGCCCACATGTTTGAGCGTTGCGACCGAAACACATCTGAACAATTCTAGCATGACAAGAAAATGAGACCAAGGAAAGGTTGTTTTTGAATTTTTTTATTTTATTTTAAAGTGATATGGTTTGGATTGAATGAATATAGGATGGCACTGGATATTAGATGCTTCGAGTCGTCATGAGAACAGAGTTAAAGTCCTCATTTAACTCTTGACAAGAACTCAAGTGTATCAACTTAAATGTGCAACGATTACTTTTAATAAAGTCTTGTGTGTTATTCTGTTAGTTTGATAGTTTAAACACAGACATATTATAAGGGATCTCCACCAACTGAACACATATTTCAGTTTATTTGTCCTAAGACGTACTGCTCATGAGAGAAGATGCCTCGCCTATTCTGTCATGATGACTACGAGGTGTGTCAGAAAAGTTCCAGGACTGGTGTCACAAAAGATATATTTCAATCCAAACTACAAGGTTTCCCCGTCCAAGTAATCCCCCTGGAGTCTAACACACTTCCCCAGTCTTCTCTGCCACACCACCATGCACTCCTGGAAAGATTCTTCCAGGATCCTCTGCAGCTCCGTCGTCACAGCCATCTTGATGTCGTTCACGTCTTCTAAACGGGTCCCCTTGATGACCCCCTTGAGCTTGAGGAAAAGGAAAAAAATCCCACGGAGCCAGGTGGGGTGAGTAGGGAGGTTGTTCCAGCACGGAGATGTTCTTCTCAGCCAGGAGCTGTGGGATGCTCAAACATTGTGAGCAGGCACGTTGTCATGGTGAAGCAGCCACCACAACTCTTCTTCTTCTGGCACACTGAACAAAGCAGACGCCGCAGGATCTCTTTGTAGACGTGCTGGTTGATCGTCTGAAGAGGAAGCTCATAGTTTGGGTTTGAAATCTGTCTTTTCCTGGAACTTTTCTGACGCACCTCGTACAAACTTACAACTGAAGGCTTTTGTCACAGATTGGAGTTGTTTGAAAGACGTGAGCATGTATCAGACAGAGGGTCTAAAACGATATGCCACTGTGTTGCATGCAGAGAAATAGAGGCTCCAGTGGTTTTGAAGCTTATAACCCATTAGATAATAAAAGTTTGCACCTCTTAGCCGTATTTCTTTTCCAATATGTAGCACTCTTGTTTCCCAACTTTTAGAGTGCAACACTAATTGATCTTGACAAAAGCTGTTAAAAACAAGAAAAGTTGTTGGCTTTACAAAACCTTTAGAACGCCATTAAACTTATCACGTGACTTTTGATTTTTTTAGAGGAATTGAACTAAATGTAAGCTTAACATTGATTCGACATGCCTCACTTAAAGGTTTACGAAAAACAAATCCTGTGCATTAAACAGATTTTGTAAGAAAATATGTTAAAAACAATCTCTGGTCTCCACATAACTGAAATGCCTCGAATGACTCAAATGCAACCAAAAGTCATGTGACTGTGGAAACAAATAAAACAATGCGAATAATGAAACATTTCTAGGATGTAGAGATTCTGTTTCTTTTTCCAGTATTGGTAGCCTCCTTGGGTAAAATAGTGACATGTTGTTGTAAAAACAATTACTCAAATCAGTAAAAAAAATAAGCCAACAGTGAGCAAAACAATGAAATGAGCTAAAACCACCCACCGCTTCTGGTTCAGAGGATTGAAGTATGAACCGACATCAGTGTGGATTTGAGGTTCAAACATCTGTATTTCTTTCACAGTTGTTTATTCCAAAAAGTTTGAGTTGTGAGCACTAAACGTCATGTTTTAGAACAAGCCTTCAGAACCAAACTTCTCCACAAACCCTCACATCTTAGCTGCCACTTTGTCCTGGCTAGAAAAACTGCTAATCCCTGTTACCTGTGTGTGTGTAACTGGGCATTAAATACACAACGCTGTGCTCAGGAAGTTGTTGAAAGTCATTTTGGGAATTGCAACAAATCACAGCTTGAGGTAGCGTGAGCAGATAAGGCAGGTGGAGAGGCTGAGAGTGGAGGCAATCAAGAGGTAAATTATATACCGCGAGGACTAATGCTTGACGTGGGCGACTGGAAATTGTGGTGCAGATGTGTATGTAGTACGTGGAGGCTTTAAGGTGTGTGTTTTGCTAATGACGGTGTCTGTTTTCCCAGGCGTCCTCTGGACTATTACACCATGGAGCTGAGCGAACACGCAGAGGGTCTGTCAGATCTATAATCCAGGGTTTTCAATCAACGTGTTTGCATCCGGAAGTGCATGGGAGGACTTCAGCGACGGCGGTAATCAGAGGCTCAGTTGACCTGTACATAACTAATTGTGCGGCTGTTCTGAAACGAATGCCACCAAGTGTCCTTCTCTGTGTCTTTGGAAGATCACTGATGAAAATGACTTGTGATTGTTGGTTAGTGAAGCGGTTGCGTGCGGTGCGACACGATATCTCGTTGGCGCCGGCGACATCAAATTAGGCAACCCCCGAGATGATGAGGTATTTTTCTATGGATGGAGATGCAACCTTTGCCTGTGAACAGTGCTGGTTACTACTTTTAAGGGAAAGGAAGATATATAGGAGGGATTTAAAAAAAAAAAAAGAATAAAAATACTTGAGTCCTAAATGGTCATTTTTGTTGACTTGTTTATGTTACTGCGGATAAAGCCTTTAAATTTTGCAAATTTAAACAACTATGCTTTTGATTTATGCGGGAAGCTCAGCTGGTACTACAGTGTTTTTAACATCAGGCTTTATAACCACGATAATATTTGTTAATAATAAGCTCACAGTTATTCTTCAGAATGGGTCGACCTCCTGCTTTGTTTTCCGTCTATATGCTGTAATCGTCCGTTTTAGACTCTTGTCACTCGAGGGGTCCTTTAAATGTGAATGTCTCTAACTTGTAATGAGTGTCTGTAACCACTTGTGTATGCTTGCTTAAAGCAAACTGTTTACATTTTCTCGTTTAGACGAAAGTACTGTGTGACTGTTGAAGTAATTTCTTGAATGAAGACTGTTTTTTTGTTTTTTTTTAGAGATGAGCGGCTGCTTGGTGTTCAGAGCTATTATGTGCTTCACTTGGTGTTTTTAGTGGAAGAATCTCCTGTGCCTTTGACCTGTGTGTTATTTGATCAGATGACATTCCAGCCATTTCTGCTGCAGGCACAAGTGTCCATTTTATATACAGTCGTCCTCAAATGTATTCATACCCTCCCATTAAAGAAGGAAGGAAAAAAAACAGCTGTCACTGAAATAAGTCGAAATTGATAAAAGTAGTAATAAATAAAAATTTAATGAAAATCATGACGTTGCTTTTGAATTGTGGTTCAACCGAAATAATAAAATCAAGCAAACAAGCATGATGAGACCCGTAAACTAATATTTTGTTGATTTTGGCCGACTGCTCATCAGCAAAGTGCTCTAATATGTCCGGGACAGTTTTGTTTATTTTTTATTTTTTTTATTGTTATTTTCAACCACAATTCTAAAGCAATGTTATTTATTTCACTAAATTATAATTTAGCAAATTTTTATTTATTATTACTTTTTTCAGTTTCTAGCTATTTCAGTGACTGTTGTGAATTTTTCCATTTCTTTAATGCAAGGGTATGAATACATGTGAGGACGACTGTACAACATGAAGTTCTCAGGGGGGAGCATTTTATTGGCAAGGTTGGTTTTTAATTGCTAAGTTAGACTTTACTTAGGTGAAGTGATGACCGAGTGTTTAGGTTGCAAACCACATGGGCACATACATCCTGAGCAGCAGATCTTCAGTTTGAATCCCGGCTGGAGATGTGATTTCCCGACTCTCTCCCCCTCATGTCCAGTCTCTAAAGGCAAAAATGCCTGAAAACGAATCTTAAAAGAAGGTGTCACTCGTAGTTGATTTTAAAAATCAAAGTTTATTCAAAATAATCTTAAAATTGCCATAACAAGGTGCCATTTCTATTACTACCAGCGTGCCATTTGCCTCATCGTGCTGCTTTTCGCATCTGATGAATTGATGAAATCACCTAAGAGAGGAGACCTATTTTCACTTCAGTACATTTTCCCATTAAATCAGATTTATCATTGGATATTTTATAGCCATGTTGCAACAAAAAAAAGAGAAAATTGTAATTATAAAATCAAGCAAATCAAGGCAATCTAAGGCTTTTATGGCATTTGCAATCAGCAGATGTGGCGTTTTTTTCCCCCTTGAAATTTTATTATGCAATGTTTATGAAGCGTATTTTCTCGTTAATGTCTGTATTTTTAGATTTTGTTCAGAATAGTGTACGTAGTAAACTAGAAGAGCAGAATATGTAAAAGTGAAGCTCAAGATTACAAATGATATATTGACGCATGAGAGATGTCTGAAAGAAGCTAAACAATGCAGACAAAACACAACTTCTGCTGAGAGCATGTCTGTTTTGTTTTGTTACTGTCCTCAAATGCATAATTACAGATACAAATCAGCAATAGTAAAATGATCTGCAACAGGATCTTATTCCTGTTCACTAAAACACTGTATACATGCAGTAAATATTCAGCCGCAGAGGACTGACGCACTAAACAACAAGAAACACTGGAAAGAAAGTTCTATCACCTGCATGTACAAGTCATAAATTAAAAGCTTTTTTTTTTCCTCAGTTTTTTTTTTTGATGTTTTTTTTTTTGATGTTCTCCTTCCAATGTCATGTTGCAGGTTTGAAATAAAGTACTTCCACAGGTGTGCACTTCACTTGTTTCTTTTTTTTTTTCTCTTGATACCCTGCAGTTCCATTCTTCCAGTTATTTAAAGTAATTACATATACTCTTCATACATCCTACGGTCTACGTTTGCATTCTTTCGCTTACATGCTTGTTTGACTGTAGCTGTGTGTGAGCAGAGCAGGTAGTGTACAGTCTATTTATGTCCCATGTGTTTGAGAAGTGCACTCAAGGCAGCATTGCTTCCTGCCAGCAACAGCTCAACTATCTTTCCTCTGCATTTTTCACCAGAAAAGGCTCGATTTGTTCGTCACCTGTCTGCAGCACAGCTCGACGTGCATGCCAACACAGTAATCATGTTCTATCTGTCAGCTCGGCCCTCATCTGTGGTTTTTGACGCCACTTGCAGAGTCTAAAAAGTACAGAAACAACAAAGTGAAGTTTGATTTTCAGGTCTCGGGTAGCGATGCATTGCATGCACAAAGCAGAAGCTTTTTTTTTTTTCTTTCTTCCTTTTCACTGTTCAACCTGCTAACCACCACACCGGAAGCCAAATAAGACGAGCAGGAGGGGAGCTGCAGCATGAAACAGTATCTTTAGCAACTGTGCTGACTTCATAATGACTCGAGCTGCCGTGTTCTTCAGACTCATTGAACTTGTTCGCAGCTAGATTTCGCTCTCAAGATCCTTCCGACTCACTTTAAATTTCCACATGTCTGCTTTTATGAGAATTATGCTGTTAGTCGAGAAGAAGCTGGTTTAGGTGGCATTGACACCCGCAGACCTGCCTGCCTGCCTACAGACGCCTTCGAGAAACCCCATGGTGAGTTACTGGCATTTTTGTACTGTACACAACTTTTTAGTTTAATTTATTTGTTAACTTTCTGTCATTGCCTTGAGTCTGCGTTAGCTACAGGCTCATGAAAATGAAATAAGATTAAGATCTTCACACTTTCATTCACCTTATCAGGAGCTAGTTTTACAATCGATTGTTGTGTATGACTTCATAAATAACATCTGCTTGACTTTTTGCTCTAAAATGCTGCCGTAGGGCCTCATGTCAAAGGTGCTGCTGCCTGTGTTTTTTGCTTGTTGTTGCTGTTAAGCAGAATTCCTGCGTATTTACTGCTCACGAACATACAGTACCTGTAACGTATTACCATCCTTGGAGGTTTTCAACATTGAATTATGACCTTTTTAATTTGGCTTTTTGGCAAAAGTTTCCTAAAAAGTTTCAATTAATTAGAACATTTAAATGCATAATAACTGATTCCTGTATTTAGTGGATGCACCTTTAGTTGTGTTACAGTATTGAGTCTGTGTGGATTGGTCTCGATCAGCCTTGCATATCTGAACACTGCATTTTTTTTTTTTTATTCTTTGCAGAACAGCTCTAGCGCTGTTAGGTTGCATGGAGATGATTATCAGCCCTTTAAAGTCCAGCTACAAATTCTCAGTAGGGTTGAGGTTAAGGTTGTCTTGCTGGAGAACAAATGCTCTTGCAGACTGCATCCGGCTGTCCTCCAGCACGTTTCCGTTCTTTGCTGCATTCATTTCACCCTCTACCTTTACAAGCGCTCAAGGGCCTACTGCTGAGAAGCATGATGCTGCCACCACCATGCTTCATGATGGAGATGGTGCGTTTGTAATGACGTACAGTGTAAACATAGCATCTGGACTGATGGACAAAAAGCTCAAATTCAGTCTAGTCAAACCAAAGAACCGTCTTCCAGGTGTCTCTCACATGGCTTCTGGCAAACTCTAGTTAAAATATATTGACCTTTTTTTTTTAAACAGTGGCTTTGTTTGCTGCTCTTCCACAAGACAACAGTTGTTTTATGCATAGTCTTTCCTATCTCAGCTGTTTAAGCTTGAAACTCCTTCAGAGGATTCATAGGCGTCTTGATGTCCTGCCTCAATAAGTTTCTAAGTTTTTTATGATGGCTTGCTCGAGGCAGATTTACACATGTGCCATTCTCCTTCAATTTGTCTATAATGGATTTAATTGTACACCAAGGGATGACTTGAAAATGTTCTTGTTTCTATTTCCTGAACACTTTCAGAGTGCTTGAATATTTATGCAGTCACCTTTGTTGCATTTAATATTTTCATCATTTGACTTTGTAGAAATTTGTTTTCACTTTGCCACGAAAGTCCTTTATTTGTAAATTCTTTTCCAAAAAGCCAAATAAAAAGGTAGATGATTCCATTTTTAAAAGGGGAAAACTTCCAAAGGGAATAATTACTTTTTTTTTTAGGCATGACAATTATAAGGTTAGTGTTTCATGAACTGGTTTTGTCTCTTAAAACCATAAACTTAACACCGGAGGTTGGCACGCTGGGGACTTTGTCTGAGGTCTGACTTTTTGAATTCACTTCCTGTGTGAGAAGTTACGTGATCAGCAATAAACCACACAGGAAGGTATTCACCATTTCCCGTTTGTCTCAGCTGAACCTCAAACATGAGTTTAATTTTTGTTTGCACTACTTCTGCTGCAGTTTTATGGACATGCAGTGACATAAAATCATCCTGCTAACACGCTGTAATTCACACATTTTGTATAGATGCAAAAATATATACCATGTATAAATGAGCAGCATTATCTGTACATTAGGTTTGGCTATCATACAGAATGGGTATTTTGTTTTTCTTCAAAAAAAACCTTAAAGGAGTTGCAAAGTTTTGAGGTGTGAAGTACATAAATGCAGCATCACTGGAGGCTCCTGATTGGAGCACACTGACCTACATCAAAACTTCTTACAATGAAGTGTGAGGCATGTGGGGACCATTGATGTAATTTTAATCAAGCCTCTGAAATAATTACAAAACAATTAGAACCACTTCAAAAAACCCACCTTGCACAATTACAATCGCCCCCATTGGTGTTTCCCCTTGTTGCTTGATTAGATCCGAGAGCCTGGCAGGCATCGGCAGATGTGGTCGACTGATCCACTGATCATGTAATTTCCAGTAGACCTCCTTCAGATTCAGTCTAATCATCCAATTTAACTGAAAACCCCTGTGCAAGAGTGCAAACCATTCACATTTAGAAATAGTCTATTCATATTACACTGGTATTTGCATATATGTATATATATTCTTCTTTATTTTTATATATCTTTTCTATATATCCTCATTTTTATATTCTATGTGTATTTTTATACTTGTGTTTGCTCTGTTTCACTGTGTGTACTGCTGCTGACAACAATGTGAATTTCTCCCCTGTGAGATAAATAAAGACATATCTTATCTCTTATCTTAAATAATCAAATGTTTGCTAACAACATCGTCATATCACTTCAGTGGTGGTAAGTCTAATTTAAAACAATTAAAATTTTGCTGCTTTTTTGTGACTGTAGATATTTCATTACTTTTATTTTTACAACCTCTCCGAATGGGGCATTTTTACTTCCCTGCACACGAAAAATGTTTCACCATGCTGACTGTATCGTCTGACAACTTGCTCCTCTGAATCCCATTTTTGAGCCATGCTGCACTCATTTTGTTGATCAGAATACTTTGCTTTAATACTTCTAATTAGTGTCCTTACTTGTGTCCTCTGCTCTGTGTAAACACAGTCAGCAGGTAACCTGAAAATTCTCAGAATTTTTGTCACCAGACTGTTCGTCACAGCTGAGTCACTTGTGGCTGCATGATTATGTCAAAGAGTGCAGGATGTTTGTTTTGTTTTTTCTTTTTACAACATTTATTTATTGTAAGCACTTTTTTTTTTTTTTTTTTTTTAATGAGACATGTAGAATAAAAGTATTTTAGTCAAATATCATCATTTCCAGCTTAGATTTGATTACATTTCCGACATCATCGCACATGATTAGTTCAAGGCCCTCGGAAAGCTGGAAATCCAAGATTTTTTTGTTTGTTTTTGCAATCTATGTCCTCGCTTTCAGATTCAGAGTCAGATTCAGAATAGTTTTTTTGTCATTGTAACGAGTAAAACGAAAAGTAAGGTCCAGGCCTTTCAGTGCAAAAAAAATATATAAACTTTGTGAACAACTATATACAATAATTACAAAAATTCCAACCCACTGTTGGGGCTTCAGAGGATTGACTGCAAATCAGTCTGATTTGCTTTTAAAATGAATGAGCTCTTTAAGAGAAGTAGAAACGAAAAGATGTGTGTCATCTGTGAAACAAGAGAATGATACCATCTTAAATAAATGATAGAACCTAATAGCACATGTAAAATGGATTGCATGTTTTTTTTTCTTTGTAACATATAGAGACTGCATACGGGTAGTAAATGAGAGTCCAGCCAATATTTTTAACATCTTAATAATGTGATTCATGATCTATAATAATCAATTGTTGCAAGGATTGAGGTCAAGAAGTTGCAGATAATAGTTTTGTGATGTCATTTATCACTTTTAACAGCCGATGCAGCAACAAAATTGGAATAAATGTTTATCTAAATTTTAAAAAAACATTTGACAATTTAAAGTAAACCAGCTTCTTTTTGAAATATTCTAACGTCAAGTTAAAAAATAGACTTGTGGTATTCCAGTTACTGACTGTATTTCTCATCCTGTATTGAGACACTTTCTCTGTTGTCTCTTATGTAAAGTCCACATAAGTATCTAGTTATGTAAAGTGCATGGTCATTTGCTCTGCTTTGAATTGACCTGAAATGGTTAAAAGCCGCAAATGCATTGCATATTCAAAGCGAGGCTCTGAAAGAGCTGGCAGACGCTGTCTCTAAACCAGACAGCTAAAACCACAATGCTTCCAGGAATAGTAAGTCATTTCAGCTAAGAGCGCCTGTCATGTTTAGCAGGTCAAAAGCTTAATAGCTATCTTTAAAAAAAAAAAAAAAACCTTTATATTTTGAATTTAAAATAAAATAAAAACAACAAGAAAAACGTTTAACACCAAGCAGTTTGATTTTGATGATAGGAGTTATAGTGAATTTTCATTTGGAGCTTTAAGTTGCACATTAAGAATGTCATGTGTTGTCCTTTTGTTTTGCGCAGAAACAAACAGGAGCATCGGGGGTTGTAAACATCAAACTTTCTCATGGAGAGGAAGACACATTACGATTCCATCATGGACCGAAGCAAACGCATCACGTGGCAGGATGACTGCTACATGGACCTTCAGTCTACCTGCTCGGCCTCGTCACGAGCAGAAGCAGAGGGTGAGAGTTTCTTTAACGTGCTTATTATGTCAGAACTGCACTCCGGTGTCTCTCTAATTGTTGATCTTTCTTATTGTTATTTTGAACAGAAAAAAAGTGCGCAGTGAGAAACGAGAGAATGCCGACCAATGGCAGTAAAGGAGTATATCAGTAATAACAATGACAAGGGAGTTTAAAGGGAATAAAAGGAAGGGAATAAAGGGGATTTAAATGAACACAAGTAAATTTACTTACAACAGAGCCAAAGAAAGATTTCTATTTCTACTGTTCCAAAGGTCAATCCACAGTTTCAATTAGTTATCAGTTACGTTGACACTATCATCGTCTGTCATCTTCCCTCAGATTCTTATGAAGAATGCAAAGCTGCAGAGGTGAGATTAGAGCCTTATCGGCAGATCAGTGACTACTGAGTTAAAGAAACTAGATGACAGCCTAACCTTCACTGAAGTCGTGCACGTAGCCAAAGCTGCTTTAATCATGTGCACCACAAGACAGAGACAAACAAGCTCAAGATGTGCGTCCATTTGTTAAGGGGAAGAATTAGAGAAAAGGAGGGTTTACTATAAGGAGACACAGAGGAGTTTCCTGACAAATTAGAATGAAACTGTGTAGATTAATCTTGAACTGGTGGTGTTTGATGAACCTGTCACTTATTTACTCACTGTGGGCTCATTTGTCACTGCAATGTCAAGTTCTGCACCTCAATAGAAACAACAGAGAAGAACTCTAAAATGTCTTCTGCGCACTATGATGGAGTAATCAAGCCATAAACAATATGTACTGGGGGAAAATAAGCCATCTGAGACATCCACATGCTACAGACAGGCTATTTGATGAGGTCAATTTATATTTTTACAACATCTGCATCAACAGTTTTTCACACGACTCTGCTCTTCAACTCTAGAGAGGTATTTCTGAATGTATCTTCCAACAACTTGGTGACAACCTGCTCCTCCACTGACTGTTTTTGAGCCACGCTACATTTATCAATTTCTTTTTTTTCTTTTTTTTTAAATTTTCCTTTTCATCTCTCTGGTCGTCTCATCTTTACACCGGTTAAACACAAGCTGTAGATCTGTCACGACTGTTGGTCTCAGCTGATTCAGTCATGGCTTCTGAGTTGTGCCAAATTTTACGTTTTCATAGAAACAATCAGTATGAAGCCTTTTATTTTTAATAGGGATGCACGATTTATCGGCGACCACATGGGTATCAGCCGATATTAGTGTTTTTTTCCCATATATCGGTATCAGTCCGATGAACAAATTTAGCTGATGTGAAAAACCGATGATTGTCTAACATCGTCTCTACATTTGATATTGCTGCTATTTCAGATGTTTTTACTTAAATGGTCCATTAACGTTAAATATGTTTGAATATGTTTTACTTTTGTTACGTAATGAAGAAGACTATGTGGTCTCATTTGGTATGGGCTTCTTTTGAACAGTTTTCCTCACAGTGCTTACTTATACTCATTTTTCGGTGTGAACAAAAATCGAATATCGACATCGGTAATATCGCTAATATCGGTTATCGGCGATATCAGAGATCTTAATGTCGGATATCGGTCAGAAATTTTAATATCGTGCATCACTCATTTTTAGTGTTTTTATTTCAAAGCATAATTATAAAACAAACTCCTTTTGATGAAATATGACACCTTTAAGCTTATATTTAGTTAATTAACATGATCAAACCATTCTTAACTTGTAATATGTTCTAGGCCTGTCGAATAGTTAAACATCCGTTGGGTTTTACGTGCACTGTTTGCTGTTGTTGTTTTGTTAAAGAAAACATATCTTTCAAACCCACTGTTGGATTTTTCCGGTTCAGAAGGTTACATCAGTAATGATCATACCCAAATGCCCTCTGACGAAATTATCCTCCTCCAACAGGATGTGAAATGTACATGTGACTTTTATTTTTATGGTTAAAATAATGTTTCGGCTGTCACCTAGTTACTGATAGCCACAAACAATGACACGCCGTTTACCACGTCCGCCCATCTATTTCCTTGGAGGCACTCATATTGTTCAGACAGCTTTCAGGTGATAGAAATTACTTTGATGCTTCTCACGAACCAGAAGAGGTTGTTTCCACAGAGACATTTAAATATTTATAAGAAAAAGGTTCCCGGTAGACCCTCCGCTTTCAGGTTTGCATTTAAAGCTTTAAATTCAATCAAGCGTAGCGTGTGTTTGATTAGTTGGACAACTTATATTGAGCGAGTTCTTGAATCTCTCCTAGTTTGTTGTAACCCTTCTACTTGAAATATGTTTAATTGTCTTCTCAGTGTTTTTTGGATGGATTATGAAGGCATCTTTAGAACAAACTGACTTTGTAAAATTCCTGCAGAGAGACCCAGGCTGTCATGTTATAATTTGCTGTTAACTGCAGTGTGCACACGGCAAATGACACATTTTGTTGATTTATTTGAAGTAAAACACTCCTCAAAATGTACGTTTCTTCTCATGAAGATACACAGATGGTTTTTATTCCTAATTTGAATTTAAACAGAATAAAACTATGGCATATGTAAAAGTCTGGACGCTCACCCTCAGAACTTTATTTACTTGTTCGGCTTTAATTGACTCGTTATGATGAGTCAAACCCGACTCAGGTCGCACTCATCAACCACGGACTCCTCTGAGCAACTGAAGATCTGAAAAATGAAGGTAACTGAGCTAATTGATGCCTTTAAAGCACAGGAAGGCTATAAAAAGATATCAAAGGGCTTCCAGTCGGCAATTTTTACTGTCTGAAATGGAAATGGCAGTGAAGGGGGGCTGTGAAAGTCAGGACAGAACCTAAATGAAAAATAAGCCTTCCAGATTAAACTGTACATGCCACGGAACAGACTCAGGCACCGACAAAGACACGGCAAAGGATGACAAATATAAGTAGATTTACAAATGAACAGGAAGCAGAAAACAGGCCAAGGGGCATCTGATCGAGACGGTAACTGGAGTCAGGTCAGAGGTGATCTAAGGGCCCAATAGCGACTCAGGAATGGAGGTCTACAGACAGGCAGAATAAACAAGTGCACTAAACTAACAGGACTACAAGAACTATTCAACCCGAACTTGGTACTGCCAAGACGGGAAGGGAAGGGAAGGGAAGGGGCTAAACACAAACTGATCAGTGTTGCTAACATACAAAGTTAGCAACACTGATCTATCCATCCATCCATCCATTCATTATCTATACACCGCTTAATCCTCACTAGGGTTGCAGGGGGCTGGAGTCTATCCCAGCTGACTTAGGGCAAAAGCAGGGGACACCCTAGACAGGTCACCAGTTTTTGGACCTTGTGGGAGGAAGCCGGAGAACTCGGAAAGAACCCACGCTGCACGGGGAAACATGCAAACTCCACACAGAAAGATCCCGGGTGTCTTCACCAACGACCTTTTCGTTGCGAGGCAACGATGCTAACCACCACCTTGCAGCCCCCTCCTGAGCTACCAGTGAGATATAAAAGAAAACTTGATTGGCTTCTAAATGAGGCTGCACAATATTAGAAAACTGTCTCAATGATCAAATTCAAGCCTCAACTCTGTGTTTAGGGAGTATGTTGACTGAGAAAGGCTATTTCAGAAATACAGATATCCAAAACTCTTTGTATCCAAAAGCATGCCAACAAGTGACAGAAATTAGACTGTGTGGTCTATGAGTCATGACCAAGGCACACTTCTTGCCATTGTACATGTTACCATGAATGCAACCTGGAGTTACTCAAATCAGTAGGTATAGCGGCCACAGAACTTCCCAAGAGGCATTTTCAGGGGCCTTAAATTGGACGTTTCCTAACTGTTCATTTTTCATTGCGGCTCTTTGTGAATATCTGATTGTTCCTGGTGAAGCTGCTGGTCGTAATGTTCACCCACCTGTTCAACTGCATCTGTGGCAATTTTCCCTGATTGCGTGGCAACTTACACCACCCTTCATACACCTACAAACTGCTAGCTGCTTTTTATATAACCTGAATAGCACTGTGAGTTGAAGCCTTGAGAATTTTTAGTGATGACTTACTGACCACAAAATGACATATAAGACAAACCTGACTGAACTACAGAAGAAACAGATCAGGTTCTTATGATCTCCAAACAAGAAGCTGATTTATTTCCAATGAGACCAAATAAAACAGACATTTGTGAGCAGCAAAAATGTTCCTCCAGGGAGTGGCAAAAATAAAATTGAGCTCTTGGGCCACAGTCACAAAGTTTTTAAGTGGGGGGGAAAGAGCCCCACTTGATGAAAAGATCATTTGATGTAACCTGTGGCAAAAGAGCTCTTGCGTGGACAGAAAGGAGAATACATGCCACTGAATGGTACCAAATTCTTTAATGAAGCTGTCATGCAGTGATTCAAGAAAGTGAAACTGAAAAGATGGTGCCAGAGATCCAGCACAAACCTCGAAATCCATCATGAAGTACTTCCTAAACATGCAAAATTAGAACTCACATCTCAGAAATCGAGGTGATCTGCAAGAAAAGTGGGCGAAAATCTCGAATTGAAGAAAATAAAGGCTGTTTACTAGATTTTAAGAACCGCCAGAGAAGAAGTTACTGTGTACAAACCAAGTGGACTGTCCAAAGTTTGCATCTGCCATAATTCCTATTAACTTTTGCTCTATATATTGTTGTGATATTCTGTGTTTCTTTTCATTCTAACAAACCAATACCAAATACTTTTACATTTAACTGTCTGTCTGACAAGGACTAATCATGATAATTGCTAAAGAAAACCTAAAATCAAGCTAATCTGTCAAACTGGAGTTTGGAAAAACTTATTTAAAAACCATCATTCTTCTTTGTTTCACTTTATTATATTTAACTGGCTGTTGTACAGTGTGTTTTTGCCTTATTTCTTTAGACTTCACTATGGGATGTGATTTAAGGCAGAACAAATGACATCATAAGCGCCGCCTGTTATTCACAAAACATCGTTTTTCTATAAAGCCGAACTAATTTGATATCTACTGCACTGGTTCCAAATTAGAGCAGTTTTTTTTGGTGTTCGTGTGTGTGTGTGTGTGTGTGTGTGTGTGTGTTCATACGTTTTTGCAGGTAGAAGTGCTTGTGCTCATTTGAGGGGATTATTAGTATGGGAGGCATCGGGGACTGGTATTGATTACGAGCACAGCACCAATACTCTTTGAGTTGTGGGCTCAATACAAGGCAGAATCATTTCATCCACGAGATTCTCTGCAGCATTTGCTGTTGGAGGCTTTTTTTTATTGATTCAGTACTGCATCGTGTTAAGGCTGCGGCTCCGCAAATAAAATCAATTTAACAGATAAACTGAAAACGCCTGCGAGGATAAACTTAGATGCAGGGGAGGTTTGAGCTAAATGCTAATACCAATATGCTGGCGTGCTCAGAATCATGATGGTGATGGACTAATGTTCAGCTGGTTTGTTTATTATGTTCAACATCTCACTTTAGCTGATAAGCACAAAATATAAAGTACAGATAAAAAAGCAAAACTACTTCAGCTTTTGACCTGATGATGGCGATAGATGAGAACTCAGTGTCCTGGATAGTTGGTCATCCAGGGAGTTTTTTTCATCTCACAAATGTGAACATTATGTTAGGCACTAGAATTAAAGTCTTTGTTGAAGCCCAGTAAGGAGTAGTTCAGATATTTCTCAGGATGCCTGCTGGTGGTACAAGATAGGATTTATACACAACATACTGAGTGTACATCCTACAGTAATGGACCTCTCCTCTGTTGCTATGCCTGACAGCCTAAAGATAGAAGATGTTGGATGCTTCACAGGTTGTAAAGGCCCCCCATGTGATACTGAGCTGTGAACTGACCTGACTGGACTTGATCTACAAGGATAGCGTCAAGCTGAGATTCATGCTTTGGGGATCACAAATGTCAATCCAATAGATGTTGAGATATTCCGGTCTGGATGCGAGTAGTGAACCGATCAGACTGATCAAACAACAGACAGATATTGGATTTTAAAAAAAGGGGGTGTGTGATAGGAAGGTGTCAACATTTAAACCAATGAAGGGGACTGATTCTGACGATGCATATGAAATTTATTGTAAATACTAAAAAGGGAGAAAACAGGAAATGAAGCAGCAGGAGGCAGCACAAACCTGTAGATTCTAACAGGATCCTGTGGTGCTCAAACTGAGAATGATCACCATGTATCACCTAGTTATTTAAAAATATCATAACACTTTCAATGATTGACAAATTAGTTTTTTAAATTCAGCTCTGTGATGTCTGACAAAGAGACAAAAAATGACAAGGCATCACATTTTGCTCTTGTACATTTGAGAATATCTACTAGCTCAAGAAACTGTCTGTTATCCCTCACTTGATAATCTCATGAATCACTTTTTAAGGGTTTTGTCTGTGTTCTGTTTTGATTTAGAACTTGGCTGGATCCAAAAGCATCACGAGCAGCTGCAAAGCTTTATCACGCCCTCCTTCCTGGAAGAGATTTTAAGCCACCTGAGGAAGGTAGATGTACTGAGTTCATCTGAGGAGACCAAGATCAAGGACGCAGGCCAGTTGCAGGACCAAATTAACATGCTCACTACTATTGTCACCGGCAAAGACAATCAAGGCTCTGATGCCCTTCAGGGCTTCATAGAAAGCTCCAGTTCTCAGGTTTCCCAGCTCATCATAAACCACAGTAAGTGGCTTGAAGTAGCGTTTGCTCTTGGCATTAGTCCTCTATTAGTCTGTGTAGATTCTCAGTCATCTCGATCATGGTAACCCTACAAGCTTCAGTAGAAATCAACTGGACTTCTCTTTATGTTCTTGAAGACGTTTCATCCAAGAACAAACCTCTTGCATGAAAGGTTAAAAGGTCTTATTCACAGTGAAAAGGGATGAGAGGTAAAATGTCTTCAAGAACCCTAAAGGGAAATGCAGTTGCTTTCTACTGAAGCTCTTAGGATGCATTAGTCCTTATTTTAAAGTTTGACGAAACAAATGCTCTCAGCGAGTCGTTTATGCATCTATATTAGTAGCTCAAGGGGCGGCAACTATTCTCTAATCACACCAGGTGATGACTATATGGTACTTGTGCCTCAAGCTGCTAACTGATTGGAAAAAAACTGTACAAAAATAAAACCCATTTACTACTTTTACTCTTTGTAAAAAAAAAAAAAAAAAATCCTTTCCTTTCTAACCTGGGTCATCATGTTTTCCTGTAGATTCCATGGTGAAGCAGCACAAAGAGGTACTGTTACGGCGATATGAACAGTACAGAGAAAGAGACTCAGTCAGCTGCCCCAAACTAAACGTCTCCTCAAGAACCTTACTGATGGTCGATGGACTTTCTGACCTCCAACAAAAAGAACACGACTTGATGCAGGTGGGAGTGACTCGAGGAGGGAAAAGAAATCATCTCAGGCAGCTGGGGCTGGCCAAACTGTTCGAACCCCTGACTCGAGTCAGTGTGCCTCCCAGAGTGTCCCTCACAGTCGGGGTGGCTGGTATCGGCAAGACAACCTGGGTACGACACTTCATCAGACAGTGGAGCCAAGGGGCCATCTGTACAGACGTGAACTTTGTCTTACCTTTCACCTTCTGTGAGCTAAACTCAGTGGAGAAGCTTTCTGCTGAGAGGCTGGTGAAAATGAGTTTTCCTCATTTAACAGACCCGAGTCTGGTCCTGAACAGCTCCTGCAGGACGCTGATCATACTTGATGGTCTGGATGAATTCCGCTGCACTTTAAATTTCTCCGACGCAGCTCCTTGCAATGACCCGAAGAAAGAAGTGTCCATCGATGACTTAGTCACTAACATCATCCGAGGGAATCTGCTCCCTGACGTAGCCGTTTGGGTGACTTCCCGGCCAGCAGTAGCCTCTCTCATCCCCGGAGGACTGGTGGACAGAGTTACTGAGATCCCTGGATTCAGCCCTAAGGAAGTCCAGATCTTCCTAAACCACCACTTCTCTGAGAGGGACTTTGCCAGCAAAATATGGGCCCACCTGGAGTCCCATAAGATCTTGATGGTGATGTGCTACATACCATGCATTTGCTGGATAGTCGCTGATACTTTGTTGTACATAATGCAGGGTGAAACACAGGAGAGCCTTCCAAGGACTTGCACCGAGCTGTACGCCCATTTTTGTTTCATGAAAGCTGAGTTAGGTGAACCGAGAGGCAGGGAGCCTGTCAAAATGGAGCAGCTTCAGGGGAGCAATCGGAAACTGCTGGGGAATCTGGGACGACTGGCGTTCTACGGGCTCCTCAAACACAAGTACACCTTCAGTGAGCAGGACCTGAGGGCTTATGGGATTGATCTACTGTTAACTCAAGGCAGTCTTGGAGCTGGAGTTCTTGTTCGAGAGGAGTCAGCCATAAACACAACATACCGCTTCACGCATTTGACTCTGCAGGAGTTTCTTGCAGCTACTTTCTACCATGTTTCCTCCAAGCGGGCCATCTTTGACTTGTTCTCAGAGAGTACCATGTCCTGGCCCAAGATTGGTTTCCAGAACCACTTCAGAAGTGCGTTTCAGCACTCTCAACAAGCTGAAGATGGTCACTTGGATGTGTTTGTACGCTTCCTGACAGGCCTGCTGTGCCCAGTGGCAATCAAACCTCTCGCAGGGCTTCTGGCCCTTGGGAAAGATGATGGCAGCCAGAAGTCATGGGCAGCAGGGTTCCTACAAGGCCTCTTGGTCAGTGGGGGTGCTGTGGTGTCCCTGCGAGCAGTCAACCTGGCTTATTGTTTACAGGAGCTGCAGCATACGGAGCTGTTACGGAGTGTGGAGGAGGATTTACGACTTGGTACGCTCGCTGGGAAGCTAACACGGCCTCACTGTGTAGTGCTGGGCTACCTGCTGCACGTGTCTCCAGAGTGCAGCGAACAGACCAACTTAACATCCTCTCTGAACTACGCAACAGTGAAATGTTTGCTCCCACAGCTGCTGTACTGTAGCCATCTCAGGTGAGCTCCTCAAAGCAACGTCTCCCCAAAACAACTCAGGACAAACACTAAAGGGTGAAACTCACATTATATCTCTTCAACAGATTGGAGAATAATCACTTTAAAGATGATGTCATGGAATTACTGGGAAGCCTCCTGAGTGCCAAAGACTGCCATATCCGGAAAATAAGGTGAGATCACATTTATAAACAAAGCATCACCTGTTGCAGTCTAATTGTTCTGAAGCACAGCATCAAATCAAATTGTTTGATTGTTCCGAGAAACAGCACAACTTTTTAATTATGATTTAGTAGAGGTCTGACTGATTGCAGCAATGTAAGTACCACTTGATGCTTGTGATTGTAGGAATAATGCGAGTATATTGATGGATGTAATTATTATTATTATTTTGTTTTATATGACTGAAACTCTTTTTTTTTTCACCTCCTCAGTTTGGCAGAGAATTCTGTCAGCAACAAAGGTGCCAAAGCCCTGAGTCGAGCCCTCCTGGTCAATCGCACGCTAACTTCTCTCAAGTGAGATTTACTAGTTGTCAAAATTAAATGAACAGATTTATTGCTTTTTAAGAGTGTGTTCTTCCTCTGTGCTAAACTTTGGTTGGGTGGACTGCCTCAAAAAACAAATAAACAAACAAACAAACAAACAGACAGACAAAAAAACGCAGTTTTAACAGAGTCAGGAGGAAAAAGGAAGGCCTTTCTGTTTTAAATCATCAGGGGCCTTCTGCCATCTCTTATTCAAACTTAAACCTTAAAACTTTTTTATCATAAACAATTGATATTAAAGACAGCAATAAAAAAAGATATCTGTGAAATTTTAGATCACTATTTCAAATGTTTGGACTTTGACTCGTCTTTCAATTTTTTTCATATGTCAGCTCCCCCATAATCAGAACTTATTTGAAGGGAACCCTCAAAACAGCCCATGACCTTTTGTTTTCAAATGTTATTAATGGAATGAGCCAAGAAATGAGAGAGGACTGTAAATGCAGATGTGTGTGTAATAACTATTGCATTACAACATATTTATTGATTCATTATTAGCGGATAATATTATCTCTGAATAGTATCAATAAATCAGTGTAAACCCAAAGCTGCTTGCAGGCAGTTTATTATGATGACCATATGAATGATTTCTAGTCTTATATCAAAGAACACCAAACCAAACTTTGTGATGTCCTGTAAATTTTACTCCCTGAATTTCATTTAAACATTTCCTCAGATAACAATGTTAACTTCAAGTTGCTGAAATGTGATTAATAATTCTCTTCATATTTTAAAAGCGTATGCATTGATGCAGACTGTCTCATTATGATTCCGTGTATCTGTTTATAATTTAGTCTCCGGAACAACAACATCGGCTCTAAAGGTGCAAAGTTCCTGGCGGAGGCTCTGAAAATGAACCAAGTTCTGATATCAATCAAGTGAGTTGCATTTCTCTTTGTTTGAACATACAATCATCTAATAAAATGAAAATGTAACAGTTCAGGATCTTCTCAATTTCTCTTAGCTTCCAGAACAACGCCATTGAGGAGGAAGGTGCTCAGGCGCTTGCAGAAGTGCTGCAGTGCAACCGCAAACTGGTGTCTCTGAAGTGAGTCTTGCTTACGTTTCAAGTGTTGCTTTTCTCATGTATATGGTACATGTATATTTGTGGTTATCATCAGGAGTATTCAATAGACCTTCCTTTTGTGCATTTGTTGTTTCAGTATTCGGAAAAACACAGTCGGAGCAGGTGGAGCCAAGAGGATTGCAGAAGCACTGAAGACAAACCGGACTCTCACGAAGCTGATGTAACCTTAAATTAATATATTTATTATCTGCTCATCTTGGTCATTCCATACTGCATTTTATACATTGAGACGTGTTGCACAGCAGCACGCTAACAGGCTAAATTGCAGCTCACTTTCATATTGAACTGGTATAAATAATACCTGTTTTTACCACAGAGCCTGTAATTAGGTCACATAGGGTGCAGTTGTTTAATTACTGATTTTGGTTAATGTCTTGGTTCTCTCCTGCAGTCTTTGTAGTAACCAGCTGGGGGACAAAGGAACAGTCGCTCTGGCAGAGGCTTTGACACTAAACCACACTCTGTTGTCGCTCCAGTCAGTACCTGCAATTTTTCCCTCTGCCTTTTCCATCACCTTTCATTCAAAAGTCTACTTTTAATGCACGTCAACATTGTGGAGTGTTACACTTAGGTTCACACATCCTGGAGAAAAAAAATGCAATTTGTCTTCCAAGTCATTCATTAAACTTATTCTGTGTTTGCAGACTTCAGAGTAACTCAATCAGCAACCGGGGAATGACAGCCTTAACCAAAGCACTTAGGCTGAACCGTGGCCTCGTCTCCTTGAAGTGAGCATTAAACCTACACCTTCTCTCTGCTTCTCTGCAGTAACCCCAGAGTTCTAATGTCTTGTTAGGGAGGATTTGATCCTCCTACAAAGAATCTATAATGATACACAGATGCTTTTTGCTAAGATATTTTGGATCAGTTCATGAAATGCACTTGTTTTTTGAGGACTGATCACAGCCAGTTCTTCAGCTACAGCTTCCTGATTGGAACTCTACTTAGAGCATGCTATACGTATGTGTGAATAGTGTTTAGACACATCAGCCACAACAATAAAACCACCCGCCGAAAATTGTGTAGGTCTGCTTCATGCTGCCTGAACAGCTCTGGGGCATTAAGACACAACCTCTGTGGTGTCTGACACTGGCAAGATGCCATTGTTTCCTTTGGGTCCTGTGGGTTTTCAAGTGGGGTTTCCATGTATCAGGCTTGTCCAGGCCCATCCTGTAGATGCTTGATCAGATTGGGATCTGGGGAGAACTCTTGGTCGGGTTCCTCGAGTCGTTCCTGATTAGTTTTGTGGCGTGTCAAAGTGACATCCACATGAATGCCAGGACCCAAAGCTTCCCAGAAGAGCATTGTGTTGTGTTGAGATGCTCAATATTTAGACCATTGACTTGTTAGTGGTTTTAATGTTGTGGCTGAACATGTGGCACATAGGCACAAGAATACGTTGGTATTGCGGCTATTAAAAAGTTTATTTCTTGTCACTTTTTTCACTTTCATGTGGTTTTCTGTCTGGTTAGTCTCAGGGAAAACTCCATTGGGGTGGAGGGAGCGAAGAACATGGCACATGCGCTCCATGAGAACCACTCTCTACAGGACCTCGAGTGAGTCACCTAATGAATGGCAGTACAGTATAATGCCTCCCAGGTGGATGGAAATGTCTGACTGTTCAGTGTTGAGTGAAATGCCACTCGTCTCAGGCTGTGATGTGTCATAAAGTGCTATGGCATGATGGAAAACCAACCACAAATTCTGTGAGATGAACTCTATTTGAAGAAATACGATGACATGCACAACTTTACACTGACAGCCTGAGTCAATAATTCTGTAATAACCTTTTCAAGACTGAAAAAAAAGTGATTTTCAAACTTCAGAGCTGTGTGTAAGTAGTTATAGACTTAAAATGAAACATAACTTAAGGGATGTTGTGTCTGATATCGTGCTATTCCCTAACTTGTGCATATGTGTGTGTGTTTGTGAACGTATTTGTGTATCCCAGTCTTACAGCCAACCTGTTACATGATGAAGGGGTTCAAGCAATAGCTGGTGCAATCAAGTTCAATCGAGGCCTCATCTCTTTGCAGTAAGTGGAATAAAATGACAAGCATGATGCACACACAGCTGTTTGCAGATCATTGAATCTAGACCACACAATCCCAGTCTTGGTAGTTGTTACTTAATTTTGATGTTTAAAACTTGCTGTGTTGAATATTTTGTGTTCAAAGTTTAAAATCAGAAAGGTGTTCTCAAACTCTTGAGCTCCACCAGAAGTCACCTAAAATCTTTGCAAGTAGGATTTGTGACTTATACAGACATGAAGCCTGCATTGAAGAAATACTGATACATTTTGTGGAATGTAATTTCAATTTCAAATAAACGTAGGAAAGGTGGCAAGTTCAAAGGAGGGACATAGTCTGGATTAGGACATAGAAGGTGCGGTTGGAGGCGTAAACCAGAGAATGGACTTTCACAGAGAGGACCAGGGTTAGTGTCCCGAGATGGACAAGACCATTAGCGTCAGACTTGTTTTCA